ATATTATAAATATAAAATCATACTTATCTACTTTTATGTACATGGATTTAATGATTTATACTAATGCAAATTAAATATAACTGGAATGGATTTATACTAAGGCATTGCTAAAAATATATATTTATTGATTTACTATGTCCTTCATATTAATCTTTACAAATTGTAGTCCAACATTGAGTTCCGAATTTAAAATGCAAATAAATAACTCATAATTTATTGGTCAATATTAATTTGGATGTAAATAAAATAGTTAATAAATTTATGGTTTAAATTACTCAACTACGTAATTTTTTTTATTTGAATTAATTTATACAAAAATAAATTTATTTAAATTAATAAAATAATATAAATTTTAATATTATTCTTATTATTAAAATTTATTTTTAAATATATAATAAAATTTACAAGTATAATTATTTTATGAAACCACATTGTATTCAAATAGAATTTTTAAATATTTAAAATGACACTTAGTTAGAAATAAATATAATGGTATTTATTATTAGTTATGTGCACTGGTTGTGTACTAATTTTAAATAGACACGTTTTATGCAACTTTGCACAATTTAAATTTTATATTATATTTTAAATTTTAAATAAATTAATATAGGTAAATTGTATTACTTATGGTTCCATATTTTAATTTATAGATATTTTTTAATGAGTATTTATAATTTACAAATATTAATAAATATATTATTTTTTAAATAGTAGCTATTTCTCTCCAAAAACAATCTATTTACTGTTTTGGGAAAATTATTTAAGAATTTATGGTATATTTTAACTAATAACTTAAAGTAATTGTGGTTCATTATTTAAGGAAATAATTAAGCCATATAAATATTCATTATTAAGATACCTTAATCACTCGAACTAATTTAATAATTTATGGTATATTTCAAATAATCACTTATGGTAAAGTCATTTTTAAGATACCTTAATTACTCAAATAATGTGAATTGACTGATTTACCTAAATATGGGATTTTCTGCTGCAATATCAATTATGTGTTTTGGTAAAGAAAATTCCAACTAAATTGTATAACTTATTGTTTAATAAGTGTTTTATATTTTTCGTGTAATTCTTTTGTGACATACATTTTTTATATACGTTAATTGCGAAAATTGTGTAAATCCGACTTATTTATTCAATCCATAGATATTTACTACAATTATAGAAACATCGACAACATTAATTAATTATGCATCTTGCAAAAACTGTTCTAAAAAAATGTGTT